GATTACAGGGACCATCAGTGATTTCAAAATGGGTGTAATAATATCCTATAATCAAACCATAGATATTGCAGACTTAATTTGGATATTCAGTGGTTCAGTTGCTGGAAGTATGCTTGCATTAGTGTCGCTCGCGAAGATTTAAACCGATGAGTATGACTGACAGCCTCCATACTATCTGCAATAGGAACATATGTCAGTGACAATAACATCATCCTCAAATGATATAACCGTGTCATGTTTAGCATGAGATATTTTATTTGATGACTTTGATAATGGAGTTAAAGTAAACATTGGTACCGTACACCTCATTCTGTGAAAGAACGCAATGTCAGTATTATTTCAGCGTTCACTGATTGTACATGCTAAGAAACGCAATATGAGCGGAGAGGATAGATCGGTAACTCAGCTGATCCTACAACTATTGAAACGAAATCACAGAAGCATCTCTGAGTTTAATGTTTATGTTTTATGCAGGAAACCGAGAGATTTAAGGTATCTGTTTTGAACCGTTGCGTGCGGGATATTCACAGAGTTGAGAAGGGGATAGTTTGACGCCAAAAGCGTCTATAACTTGAGCTACCAATGACGCGTGGCATACCTTCTTGGATTGAACGAGAGATCGTGAAGCAAGTACAATCTTCGTTAAAGAAAACGTAGAAAAAAGTCGTGAATAAGTGAAATTATACAAATAGTGCCAATTTTTTGGTCTCATTTATTGTCCTTTAACAATAAAAGTTGTCGAGACAAGAGTAAACAAAATTTCAAAGAGCATACGCACAGCTGCGGACTGGACAAACCAACTTATACAGAATTATAAAAGGTGATGTACCAAATTCAATATGTTCTTTATATTTTTTGTTAACACAAACGTGCAGATGGCCAAGAGCTACAATCGGAAACCACCCCATAAAAGAAGTGATCTCTACCTTCCACTTACCTTTAGGGAGGCAGGCATAGTCTTCCGTTAACAGTTACAGCTTCGACAATTGAATCAAGATGAAGACACTTGTCATCCTAGTCTTGGCGGTTTTTAGTGCTCATGGTAAGATGCATAAGTATTTGTAGCACAAGTAATGAGTTTCTTTCTGGTCCTACTCACAGCGGAGTCCAGAAGCCTCAGACGGTAATACCGACACCGTTTTGACTCGGTTACAATTTGCAATCATCATCAGCCTCGTAGGGTTTGTAATCAGATATAGTTTGACCCTCTATGTTCTTGCCATTTTAGTGTCCTTTCCAAACTCTCGCTCGAAATGCTTATTTATTACTATAGATGCTTTAGTTCAACATGGCATCGGCGGCTGACGATGTGAGAATAAAAAGAAAACTCAAAACAGACAATGAAGCAATACCGAATGGATGTCCTAACCGTGGCAAATTTAAAAAAAGGGCCTCACTTCTTTTCTAGGTTTTAATCTCACCGGAATTTTCCTACTTCAGTTTTAATGCCTACCCCAGAGAATTCCCCTCTTCCCGCTGAAAGTAGACCCCAAAGCCTTAAGGTCACTTATGACTATGCATGAAAATTGAGCTAGAAAGGTGCGGCGAATGCGGCAACATTCCAAATTTAAAGAGGATTCATTGCATACCTACTCGTCGTTCCTCTCATAATTGCGTTTTCGATCTTTGCTGACAGGACTTGAGAAGTCTCCCAGGCCACCAGGTTACGGTATATTCACAAAGAATTTCAAAGTGAGAACATTTTTGCGGGCTGGAGGTAACAAGATTTGATTTGATTTGATGCCTAGTGTGTATTTTTAGAGTTATGTCAGCCTTTGCATTACACACCCATCTTTTATCTCTCAGAAGTGTAAAAGTGTAAATCATGCAAATTTACAAAGTAATTTTAACACTTTGTCCTGAAAACAGTTGTTACTGTTTGGAGGGTATAATCTGACTAAACACAAAATTTTAAGACTCAACTCTTAAGAAAAAGTATAGCAGCAAGAAAGCGATGTTGTTCTCCTCGTATAGTAGCACCCCGAAAGAGAGAACCTGATGGAGTATTGATTTAAATTAAGAGATTAAAAACTGATCAGTTGATATTCTTTCGGTTGAAGGAGTAAACTTTTTTGTTTTGTCATAGATATCGTCGAAGGGGATATCATGCTGGACAGCAAAACTGCCTCTCTTTACCGTGGAGAAACCAGAAATGCCATGAAAAACGTGAACCTATGGAAAAACGGAGTGGTGCCTTACATTCTTGATTCCAGCGTGGGTAAGTAAGACACCAAACATTGCGACTCTTGCAGTGCTTTCTGCGGTATTTAACAACTACTACTGTGTCGAAGTGGAGGTAAATATTTGTTTACGTAGATACTAAAACAGTGGAATAATTTAGCACAAAAAGATGATTTTAACTCTTTTTTCCTGCAAAGATAATATTTGTGGGAGCAAATCCCGCGCGAGTTCGGGGTTTGGGTAACCAATGAGAGTGCGCTTTCAACATTACGTACTGTTTAAGTATAAACTAATCTTGCACATCTTTCGGCATCAGTTAGTCAGTTATCCATCTATTTAAATGTTTATGACATTTATTCACTCATTAAAATATATATATGTAGAACTTGCCTTTCCTTCTTCTCCTCCTTTTATTGTTTTGTGTCTTAGATGATCACCTGAAAAGCCAGATCGAGGAAGGCATCAGAGAATATCATAAATACACATGTCTACAATTTGTGAAGAGGACGAACCAAAGAGATTATATCAGGATTGTCAAACCAGCATCAGGGTAAGGTGTCTAAACATAATGACTAGTGAGAATTTTAATTTTTTGAGAACATGACACAATTTTTTTCTCATAAGGTTTGGAAAACACCAGCGTTTGTTTCTCAAATTTCACCTTTTTCTATTTTTAGTCTCTCAGTTAGGAGTATAAATATCACAGAGAATATTGTGAAGAAACAGGATGGAGTTTTGGCGATTGAGCGGAACAAGGCCACCACAGGACTTTTTTCTTTCGTTTTTGGAGGGCTTGACTGAATGAGTCTGATCAATGAAGCATTTGGCTAAAGCATTATTGCAAAAAAGTTATACTTTGTGGGAGCGAGGCGGAAACTGCAAGCGGGAGAAAGGCTGATTTGGCCTCCCTTAATCAAAAAAACGTAACTTGCTATACCTTGGTTTCCAGGGGTCAGCCATATAATAAGTATCAGTAGTAATTTCCCTCCGCTTCTTTTAAGTGATGAGTAATCGAGGTTTCAAGGGTTTGTTTCTTTGTCAGGTAAGTGGGGATGGGTGGAAAGGGGGAAGGGGGAAGGAGCCTCAGACGTCGTCTGTCTCTGCTACTTGTAACGGTGTAACCCTTCACATCCTTCCTCATGATCGGTGGGATGTCGGATGGGCTCCTCTGCCGGCTTACGACCTGAGGTAGCCTGGGAGACATATCTTTGGTATACTCCTGGATATCGGAAGGATATCCGAGCCTACGAAGCCAAACGGTTGATAACTATCGTAGGAAACTTTTCTCTCTCGTAAATCTCTTGTAGATGTAACTCAATGGTGGGCGCGATCGGTGGGGAACAAATCCTAAATATGGGAGATGGCTGCCAGTATGTTGGCCTGGTTCTTCATGAGTTTGGTCACGCAATCGGCTACTTTCACGAACACAACAGGCCTGACCGTGACGATAATGTAAACATTTTGTGGGACAACGTTCAGTACGGTGAGAAATTATTTTTTTATCCCTTCTCGAAAAAGATTTTGGAATCTAAGGTAAATTTTCTGGTGACGCGTCGGCCAATGTTCTGTCATGTTTTCCCTGTAATGATCTATTCATTTTATCTGAGCCTAGAATATATGTACTCTGAGTACTTACTGTTTATCTCCTCTGAATAACATGTCGTTTGTTCCAACAATGGTGGTGCCTCATCAGAATCAATGAATTCAAAGTAAAAGAGCAAAAAATTTTGTCGGATTCATGACATCATCTGAAAAAAGCAGAGCCTCTGGTGGCTTCATGTCAGAGTCCAATCATTGCTCAGCTTTTCCTTTTTAATCTTGCTGTTGAGTATTAACTATGATCTTCTCTTCAATCTTAAAGGTTTCAAGGACGCTTTTCGCAAGTACACTTTTGATGAGGCAGATGTCCAAGGCTTCAAGTACGATCTGACATCCATCATGCATTACGAGAACTCTGCGTTTACCAACGGTTACTGCCGTCCAACTATGCTTGTTAAGAAAGATCCATCGTACGAAGTGACACCAGTTTACCTGAGGAAGTTCAGTCCCCAAGACATACAGAAAATCAACAAACTTTATAGTTGTCAGACAAACCAACTTCCTCCTACAGGTAAATTAGAGAGCGGTTGAAGCTAAAGCTATTACCGTTTCTTACATTTTTGCTTGGCAATTTATTTTCTTTATTATTATTTTCATGATCAAGGCAAATAAATCAAGATGAGATCCAAGGATACATCTAACCTCCCTCTTTGCCAAGAAAAAATAATGTTAAATTTTGCTAAAACACTCCCTCCCCCCTTCCCCTCAACACACACACAAGTGGCACTGAGAAGTTAATATAAGACCCTCTTTATGCAAAATCCTGTAGAAGACCTAGTTGTCCAATGAGATTTCTAGGTAATCAGTGTTGCACCAGTCCCTCTGCAAAATTGGTGTTGTAATTGATAACTGGATCACTGCCCAAAGACATAGTTCTCGTTTCAACCGAGGTCTCATTGGCATTGATAGTGCCACCAAACGCTCAATGAAGGCTGGCTAGGAGAGCAGATAAGATTATAATTTATCTTTATAGACCCAATTTTCCGTTGTTCCACGCCATATTTAATTTCATTTAAAACTCAACAAGAAGCTGAGTTTAAGTATTTGTCCTTGATTTAGCTGTTCGATCACAGCTACATTGACCGCTACCGTTCTTTGTTGTTGCAGTTTTGCCCGGAAGTGGAAATCCAGATCCATCTCGTGAGTTGATCATCAACTTTTTAACCCATTCCTTTCCCCTCTACTTTGCGTAAAGAGTAAAAATGGATGAAAGCAGACTGCACGAGTTTCAATTTTTTGTTGTTTGCCGCTGGCCGTAAAAATCATGCTTACTTTACCTCTCTGTTTAATCTGTTTCTCCTCCCTAAGAATGTAAATGCGAGGATAAGTACAACGACTGTCAAGGTTGGATGAACTCGGGTGAATGCGGGCTCAATCTCATGTGGATGTCGACGAATTGCGCCAAAAGCTGCAGAACATGCGGAGGTATGATGTCACAATATTGACCATTCAAAGATTGCACTTTTTTTAAATTTATTTTCTTCGCAATTATCTTATTCATTTGTTTGATTTATTTGCAGAGCCCCCCTCTGGTGAGCTTTATGGATCTTAAACATGAATCATTTATCGTTGAGTATATGCACAATCTTCGCCAAAGTCTGAGAGTCTTCAATTCATATTACATATTAATTTAAGTGCGATGTCACGTAAGAGTAAGGAAGATACATATATAGATGGAACGGCGTAACCCTCGATAAGCTGGAAAAACTCGATAAGCTAAAAACCACTCCGCTTCGCGTCGTGGTTTCCTACGCTTATCTCGTGTTCTCCCAACCTCCCGCGTGTTTACATCAGGCTATGTAAACACGGAAACCATTTTACATTTCTTCAATGTAATCACTAAATGAACGAGTTCTTCGTTTCTCCTAAACTCACTTGACTCTTTGAAATGGAGACATTGAGAGGTATAAAAATAGCACAGTATGTTTATTGTTTAACATCATTATATATCTAGCTCGTAGGAAAACATAACTACAGAATACACTAATGGAACTCACCGTGGTTTGTAAAGCGATTACTTCTTTGGAGATCTCGCAAAAATTTGGTCTTTTCTTTGCTGAAATATCTCTCTTACCTGCTTCTTTATCCCTCGTTGACTTTCCTGCGATTTAAATTTAAGATTGTCAGGATGTGTACCCAGTGGCGTGCGAGACCTGGGGAGCTGGTGGCGAATGTTCTAAGAACCCAATATGGATGAACGCGCATTGTGAGAGAACATGCGCTCAGTGCAAAGGTGAATTAATCAGAAACTTATCGAGTCAGCCAAGAATATTGTCAGTTTTGTTACACCCAGAATTCCTGATTAACTCCTGATGAAAGTCAAACGCAATGAATTTTTTCATTTTCTGCTTACAAACATTCCAGAAAAAGATAAACACGAAAAGATATGCAGCTACTTTTTCGTATCTTTCAATGCAGGACCAACTCAAGCGCCTACCCCACCCCCTGTTGTTACAACTAAGCCACCCCAGCCTCCCAAGCCTACCACACAACCAACCGGAAACTGCAAAGACGTTTATCCTAAATACTGTCCCGACTACAAGAAAAGGGGAATGTGCACCACTCATGTCGACTACATGACCAGTGTCTGCCCTGCTACCTGCGGATTCTGTGGTAGGTAAAACGATTATTACCAATGTGACGAAGAAAGGAAGAATCCTTAATCGTAAGAGTGGCCACTTTTATGCAAGTACCGTCTAAAAAGTCTCACGTTTCCTGTTAATGGCGCTAGTTAGGGTTAAACTTGAGCGCAGTCTAATCTTCATATGCAGGTGAAAGGCACGTGAAAAGCATTTGAAATGTATGTGAAAAGTGTTGACCCTTTCCCACAGAGTTTCCATATGCTTCTCAGTATTAGTTCATAAGGCCCCCATAAGGTCTACTTGCAAAAAAGCGTGTACTCACGCATACGCTAGGAGCCTTTTAAGCTCAGGCCTCCCGCAGGGCGCATGTGTAAATAGTTAACGAGGTGTGGTGGCCTAAAGTTTTCCGCTTTAAATTCCAAACCGGGAGGTCTAAGGTCAAGCCCGGACCAGAGTCACTGTATAATGTTCTTGTGCCAGACAGGGGCTAGATGCGTTACTCTCACAATGCCTCTCATCTCGGGTACCAGGTGAAATTCTTTGGGGTAACCCTGGAATGGACTATCGTTCCTTTCAGGGGTAGTAGCAATACTACCCATCGCTTCATGTTACAAAAGTCGCGATCGCTGTGAGCTTCAGAAATGCGGGCCTTTTGGCTCGGGAAGGGGAAGGGGATGAACCTGTTCGTTTTGCTTTCTCTCTAGGTGGATCAGGGAATTGTAAGGATGTTTATCCTCAGTACTGTCCAGGGTACAAACAAAACGGAATGTGCACTGATCCTAACTATTTGGATTACGTCAAAGAGGTTTGCAAGTGGACTTGCGGCTTCTGCAGTGAGTATCATTTGACGTTTTTCTAGCTCTAAAGCGAGGTGTCATGATGGAACTCATGACAGACTCTTTTCGAAACGTCTAGGTACAAAGAGTTAGTTTTAAATAAATTATATCCTTCAAAAAATATGAGGAATAGTTGGCATAATGTTAACTCAAGATCGTTAGAAAACCTTAAAGACACTTTTTTTGTGGTTAAAATAAATATCTGTATGTGGTTTAGTTCATGTTCAGGAAAGTAAGACTCTAGGTTGAGTTTTATAGTCAACTGGGGATAACTTGGATCTTGCATCACTCACCTTCCTACCCACCTTTCCTGTATAAGGACATAATACTGAAGAGACCCACTGTCCTTTGTTTTCTAGGCTGAGCCGTTCGTTGTTGAAACACGAAAGGACCCATGACTGTTACATGCTGCAAACTTACCATGGATCATACAAGAAGAGAGCATTTTCTTTACAAAGTCAAAGTTTTGCTTAGTTCGTTGATGCATCATAAAGAAATTAAAAGTGGTATTGATCCTGACTGAAAATCGTGTCAGCTTTCTAATGAAACTTAGCATAGCATGGGCCTGGGCCTGATGACCGTTTTCAATACCATCAGTTTGGGTAAGAGGATATGTTTACAATCTCTTGGTTTGGGAGATATTTTGGATGACTTGTAAAGTATGATTAGGGTTATTTAATTACCCCGAATCCCTGCTCTTGTTTTTGCTCTTTCGTTTTTCTTGCGGCGGGTGAAAAAATGGAACAGTTTTTTCCATCAAGAGCTAGAGTTCAGACTTCAATAATACGCACTGATTCCTTTAAAAACACCGGTCAAGAAAAATAGCTTGAAACTCAGATTTAACGGGATGCCATAGGTTCCTATGATGTCCTGCAGAACGTTTTTTTAGCCAATTATCCGTTATAATATTAGATAAAGATGGCCATAGGCTTATGAAACGCAAAGAAAGGCAAAAATAGCTAAAACCACAAAAAGTTACTCCAAACGCCAAAAGTTGCCCAAAAAGTTGCCAAGCACAATCAGGACAGGCCTAACTCTCAGCGCCTCCACAGAGGAATTAGCAAAAGGTACCAAATACCACGCCTTGGAACGCAGTTGAAGCTCTCTGGGACCCAATCTCTCCCTGAGAATCGCCGTCTACAACTGAGAAACCTTGCCCGATTAAATCAACAAGGTTTAAGTGTCTTTCAATAAGCCATGAGAACAATTATGCCCATTCTGAAATGAGATTTATAATCACAAATGAATACCGCACGCTCAAAATCAAGAGTCGGTCTGTCACTTATTCATACACCGTTAAGCGCGAGAAGACTCCCTTTTAATGACCAACCAACGCATAATTAATTTTTCAGCTTCGGATTCTCACTTTGTGCGAATAAATTCGCACACGAAGCCATATTGATCGAAGAAACAGTATTTTGTGGGTCACTAGAAGACCATCAGAAGTCAATCATGTAATGTTGTTTTAATTTCACGGTAGGTAAATAACCTCGAAAACTTTAATGATATGCATTTCAACTAAAGAGTTACTTCTTCATTGGGTTTGAATGTAAATTCCTCGAAGGGCTTTCATTCTAAGGCAAGAGACCCTCTAGATTCACTCTTACTATTTTCAAAGAACCGAGTTTTAATCGACAATTCTATCTTTCAGTTTTGAAAGTTCAACGCACGTTTTTCGTGAATGCTATATTCGAAACTCAAACTCAGCATGTTTTAGGTGCTTTATCCTAGTAGTTAGACTCGCAGTTCTTGGCTCATTTCCATTCATTTGTGTAATTCTTATCGTTGATTTTCTTGCTGAAAAGAAGGAAAGGCCTTTTGACCTCTTACAACCTGTCGATAACGTCTATGTACTGTTGATCCACGTATCGTGTCATGTTAACTTTTCTAATCGAGGTGTTGAAACTGCGGTTTAGTTCCCCGATCGAGCAAAAACTATTCAGTGACTGTTTTAAATTGATTTTGTTTACGGTCGAAAGAATAAAAGAGAAAAAAAAACCAACAATAAGGTGACATTGTGATATCGAAACATGGTCATGGCGCTACGGGAATCAACTTGAAAATTTACGAGAAACCGTCGCGTTCACAGAGTAAATTTTGAAAAGAGAACGTCCGTTCATTTCCCTTTTGCACATAAAGGAGCTAATAATGATTGTCATTATTGGGAAAGCTTTGTTTCCCAAATTCACATATATTACAGCTCTTCTTCGGGTTTTCGAAAGTGATGAATTTCTGTTATTGTCAAATCCTCATAACTTGGATGTTGAGCAGGTGTTTTCTGTCCTTTTCAATCGGCATTGTTCGGGCGACCAATCGGAAAAGAGCCATCTGCTAAATTACGCTCAGAGGAGTGTGACCGAAACAACACTGCAGCTCGTTCATTTTGCATCTCGCTGCAATTACAACTACGGTAAATTTGAGCGGCTTTATGTAATCTACAGTCATTAAGCTTGATTTTGGCGTTGTACGCAATTTCCGAAGGAGGTCCTTTTCGATTTAGCATTCACGATTCGTCCGCACGTCTGACGAATAGAAAAGTTTTCCGGCCTGTGTGTATGGCGAACACCGGAGGCAAACATATGTTGATGACGGGTCTAGTTTATCAGAGAGGATCTGCGCTGCAAAGCGATGACGGCTGATCGGAGAGCTACTTCTTGAAAAAAAATTTTTCTTCAGAGATGCCGAATCTGTCTTTCGGTGGCCCGAGAGATCGCCCGCGTGAGTAGTTATATGCAATCAGTTCATTTTTTACGGCATTCTAACGAGATCAAGTCCACAATTGCCCATCGGCCTTTGTTTTCAGATCAAAATTGCGGATGTCTAGCACTATGGTAGCAATTCGAGTTTATAGAGTTTGACATAGCTATTTCATGTATGCTCGATGTGTTTACTTTTCATTTCGTCTCACTCATGACTGTTGTGTTGTTACTATATAAGCTGTGCGTAAATGCGTTTGTTGTCAAGCAAAATGACATTCGATTTAATGATCTGAAAGAAAAAGAACAATTACCCTAGGCGTAACTTCTCGAGGCGTTAAAAATTGAATTTTCGACGGGTTTTTTATAAACGTATCGCCGTAGGAAACACTAACCTCGTGTTTCAAACGTTTGTTTTGCTTCCATAAACTATTGCGTCAGTGCAGCCGCCCAGCCTTGTTTGGGAAAACGACGCGGGGAAGATTTTCCTTTAAAATTGCTGGAAAGATAACATTTTCCCTTTACTGACCAGATCCGATATTGATCTTGCAGAAGGTTATTCATCTCATCATGATTTGAAAAGAATTCTTATTTTCGCATGTGCAATTAGTTGTAAATTTCTGCTGTTGATTGTTGAGAAAGTTATGATTTTGAATGAAAGTTTTCCAATAATCAGAAGGCGAATTAAAACTGTTTGCATTTTATTTGCGCCAGTGATAAGCAGGAATAATCAACGTCTACTTTTGCCTTTATTCGTTTGGTCATAAACCAAACATCTCATCACGAGAATTTCCAGTTGAAAGTAATATTGTACATCTCCAATAGATCATAAAATCATTATCCTCAAAACAACAAAAAAGTAACATATGCCCTAAAGGAGCAAGGACAGATTTTGACACAGGGAAGATTTTCTCTTAAAATTGCTGGAAAGATAACATCTTCCCTTTACTGTCTTCCATATTATACATGCATTGCATGGTTGCTGTAATAAATTGCTCTTGACTCTAAAATTTCTCTTTCTGACTGACCACTTTTATTTGAGAAAACCTAACACTTGTTTTGGCGGACGGTTTTCCTCTCTAAATGCTTCCTGTACTTAGCCAGATGATATTTAAAGATAAGAACAGCCTAAGCTATACGATAACCTAATCTGTCCTTCCTTTAAGGTGCCCAAATGTGTTTGTGTTAACGATATTACATGCGCTTGGTGAATTTCGGCCATTTATATTTGGTTCGTTAAGCAAGAGATATTGGACATTCTTCAAACACAATGTAAAATTTGCTAGCTTTAATAAGCTTTTTTTTCTTCTTAAGACTAGTTCAGAGTTGGCTTGACTTATACTCTGTAATATTACCTTACTTCAACATCTCTCCATAAAAACCCTGGACTTAGCCATCTGGAAAGTTAATTTTGCATATGCAGATTAAACAACACATTAAATTTTTTCATTCCCAGTTGTACCATCTTTGCCATTTGCAGCACTTTTACATACCCTAAAATTACTAACATTCATCAGTCATGCCTTGTGGTAGTAGTATCAGTGGGGTTCAAAATGGTTCCTAGAAAGAAATAGGGCTCAGAAAATCTTGATCCAATTGGCAAATTCAGGGATCAGCAGGTGTGTGAATTAGGAAGTCTGTTGGGAAGTTTGGTCTTAACCACTATGTATGTTTTGCCAAAGGAGCTTCAAAGAAAGTGCTTTTCAAGATTTTGGCTTAATTCTTATCAATCAATTTTGGTGTTTTGCTTTGTACATAAACATGATATGTTCTGCAGAGTATGGTCAAGACGAATGAATATAGGTAGATGAAAATAATGAAATTAAAAAAACAATACTGGTGGATCATTGGTGAATTAATTGACTTCAGTTAATGTAAGATATCTCAAACTGATTTACATATGGATAAAGGCTGGTTGTTTGCTTTGCTTAAGTTGAAGGAGGCTGCCAGCTGTCTCATGATTTTGTATAGAATTATGTTGTTGGCATCTGAATCCCAACTAAAAATATGATGTTGGAATATCAGTTTCAACAGAGTTTGAACAGTAGTATTTATAAGGTTTTCTGCAAGGCTTAAGGTATATGTACCTTTAAAAAAAGATTGGATGCTTTCAGTTTTTCCCAAACCAATCACTCCTTAAAAGGTTGATGTTAGGAGTTCAGGCAGTCAAAAGCTTGAATGGGTTTCTTTGGAAAGAACTTTATTAGTTGAACAATGCTTAAATTTAACTATGATCTATTGCAGTGGGGTTGGACTCTATTAGTTAGAAAACTTGAAATTGCTTTGTCTTTGAGAGTGGGTCATGTAGAGGTTAGCCAATTCATAAATCAAAATTGAAACATACTGTCTGATTTAATTTTAATTAGAAACTCTGCTTTCTACAAGTGTAAGTGCCTTGCATTTCCTTGTAAATAAGTGAGGATAAATTTTTGCTCAGTATCATGATTCATGAAGGTTATTTTAATCCCCTCCCCCCTCTCTATAGCTGATTGAAGTGGTTATTCTCTTCACCTGCTTGTGTGAATTATTTTATAATTGCAATGAGAAGTTAAATTTTTAATCACATCAGGGAGTTTAAGGGTCCTTATTTCATTATGGCACTGAGTGTTATGAATGGCGAACTGTATAAGGTTTTTCACAAAGTAAGTGATCATGAGATATTACAAGTGCCCTGATTGGTCAAAAACCGTCTATCCTTTTTGCACTGGTAAACCCATAGAAAATAGAAAAATTTTAAGTTGATTTTAAAAAAGCAATGGAGCAACACTTTCTACCAGTTTACAAACAAAATAAACCACTTAGGATGTTTAGGGAACACTTATAAAGTTTGTCGATCACTCACATCTGGCTTGTGATTTACAGACTTTTATCAAGTTCTTTCATCATTCTGCATGGGTGATTATGCCAGTAACCTGATAGAAAGTGAAGTCTGTTGCTTAATTTACTGTCTAGTAAGCTTTTAATTCCAGTAGAGCAAGGAATGTGAGTTACAGTATGATAAAAAAAGAATTGTATGTTAGACACAAAATAGTTTGTAATGAGAAATTTCTTGCAGAGGTATCACCCATTGCATTCTCAGATTACATTGACCTCACAATTAAGTTTACATACCATCCTGATCAGCAGGTGACTCAAGACTCTTGCTTTCTTTCTTGGAGTTCTATAGATGACTTTAGGTAATGAGTGACTGATATTTATTGCTTATTAAATGTTCCTATCTATAGGAGGCTCTATCTGTGAGCCAATGATGCAGACAACAATGGCAGGAAGAGTGATGTTGATTCATCAGCTGGTGATGAAGGGCGATTTAAAAGAGTTGAAGAAGGAGATTGCAAAGGATATAGGTTTGTTGTGAGGTTTATTACTTGTAAACAGTTCCTTGTCTTCCTAATAGTCTGCTAATGAACATTGTAGATCTCACAATGTCCAAAGCCACTTAATAAGGCCACTATTAAAAGCGAGGGGTGAACATTAATACTGGTTGTGGCTGGTCTTTAACATAAAAGTGTTGGGTGAAGGTCATATGCATGGTATTAATTATAACAGCTAGAATGTCTCTTGTAACTTAATATGAATGACACTCTGCAGTGTCACAGGGGTGAAATGTATACAGCTGTTTCCAGAAAGGTTGGCAGATTGAAGAGTGTACACTACAACCCTGAAAGGTATTGTGAAAAAATATTCCATCAGGTTACAGTTCTTTGACCTCAGGATTTCAAAGAAATCTGAGAAAACATCTCTGTAATGATGAGGCATCATGGGTTAGATTAATTTATTTATTTATAACATTATTGCATGCACTTTTTTCTTTTTTCCTGACAAACAGCTGTATACATTTAAGGTTACAGTATATGTACTGTACATATTTCTGTTGAACCTGACTTGTTGCTCTAAGTATATATTTAAATTATTGCATGGTATCTTTTGTTAAAGATCTTTTAGATGGCAAGAATAGTGAGGGGATGACACCACTTTTCCAGGCTACAAGCTGTAATAACTTAGAGTGTGTTCAGTTCCTTGTTACATCTGGTGCAAATATTGATGCACGTGACAATGTTGGAAGGACTCCAGTTGCTTTGGCAGCTTATCAGGTAGCAGCCAGTAGCAATTTTTCTATATTTTACATCTTATATTGTATTTCTCCGATGATTCCATAATGATTCTATTTGCAGCCTTCCTTCCAATAAGTGCCCCCTCTCTGATAAGCACCCCCCTTGAATTTGTTTTTGTCAATAAGCACCCCTGTTGAGTAAGCACCCTCATTCCAATAAACATCCCTATTCTGTTTCAGTAGTAGCACTGTAGGAGTTCATGAACATTGAGATCAACTGACTGGTCCGTCTTCCTTTATAAATTGCTCACTTTAAGTCTCACAACACAAAAGGTGATCTTTGTCTCAGTTTCTCAACTATCTAATGTTGCCATGGGTGCACAGTTCTTTCAAAGAACAAAAGATCCTGTCTTAGAAACTTTGCAGCCATTGCTTGGCAAGTCATTCTAACATACAAAGTATCCTGAGGGACAACAATTCCATCTTCCAATCTTTTTTGATCCTCTGTTAAATAAACATCAAAGCTTTGCTTCACATTCTGCTGTTTCCCTAAAAAAGCAATAAGCACCATGTCCTTAATAAGCAAGTGCCCTACAGTTAGCCAAAGTCAATAAGCTCCTCAGTTGCTAAATTGAATCACTGTGGTAAGCACCTGTGCCCAAGTGCCCTACTTCCCTGACTCTCCTCCCTTACATCCTTAAATGAGAATAGCAATCCAAAGAAAACCTGTTTTTATAGCCACTTTATCTGTAACTTTACTTCAATAACAGCAGAATCAATACAGTTTCATAGTTTCTTGATAAGCGCCACCCTTGATCAAGCACCCCCCTTTCCAATCAGGGCCCCTCCTTTAAGCTGACATTTTAACAGGCTCCTGGGTTTTAATTTGAAGAAGTAGGGTATTTTAGAATTTTTATGAACCTGTCATATATAGGCATAGGATTATGATTATTGTACTTCCGTGATTAGAAATTGAGACCTGTTGGTAGAATGCAAGTGAGACTGAAAATTGACTGTGAGAATAAACATTTTATAGCCAGTTGTCAGAAGACAATTTCAGTGTCACATTTGGCCTCTTAATCAGCTGGTATTAATTAATCTGAATACCCCAACTGAAGTAGCAATTATTATAAGATGTCTTGAACAAATTTTATTGGATTGTTTATTCATGCAATAACAAAAATTCTTTATCCCTAAGGGCTGGCGGGCTGGTCTGTATTACCTACTTGCAAAAGGTGCCAATTGTTTAATTGCTGACAATGATGGCAGACTTCCTCTTCATGCAGCAACATACTTCAGCAATGAAAAGTACACAATCATTATTTTTTTTTAAATATTATAATATTAATATTTCTTTTGTATATAAGCTCTCTGTTTAGCCTGACCTCTCTGAATCTAATAAACATAATGTCTGGAAACTTCAAAACGTTTTAAGATTCTCTGTAAGAGACCTTATCTCATTTGTTGCTAAATTGAGTATGAGAATACTCAAACTAACAGATAGAAGTTGTTATCATGATCTAACACCAATTTCTCATTACTAATTTACAAGGAAATCTGAAGCAGCTACAGAGCAGAATTAACAATTTGATATTGAGAGGTGCTTCTTAGCTCAGTAACCTACCTCTGTGCTTGGCATGCTTTTAATATGGGTGAGACACTAAGATCTTCCCTCAGGTGACATATTGTGGTGTAGTTTATGGTGGAGTAATTCTAGGTTGGTACATTGGCAAGAGAATGCCAAATATATATGGACTCGTTGAGTCAGTTATTTTCCACAGGGAAAGTTGGCATGAAACAAGGTGAGATACTTGATCTAGTTGGAGCTTATGATTTCAGTTTCCATTGCAACACTGACTAATAAGAGGAATTACTATTTCAGCTTGGGAGCCAATGGAAGTTGAATGGGAGGGTATGAAATTAATGGTTGAGAATTGAATGAATGGCAATTAATTCTGCTTGACATATCTCTTTTGCCACACAGGTCTCTTGAAGTTCTGCTGCAGCATTTGTCACTTCAAGATGTGGATGTTAGAGATAATGAGGTAAGGTGTGTTATGCATGTCAATCCATCCTGTAACCATGATTCACCACATCAACAACAGAGTTTTATTATTCATTTAACCACTGTTTATGTAACAAACAAGGATAGAAAAATAGAAAGGAAAGCTAGGGGAACAACAATATATACAATGCAGAAAAGAAGCAAAAATCAGTTTTATAAATACTGAATGTAAAGTTAATTTTTATTGTAGGGAATGACAGCACTTCACTGGGCTGCATTCCATGGCAGGACAGGTCATGTTAGATTGCTGTTGGAAAAGAAAGCTGATCTTCTGTCACGAGACACAGCTGGAAAATTACCTCTCCACTGGGCTGCTCAGGTGTTAAATACATCTTTAACCTTTTACATCTAACATCAGTATGCAAATTCTCCATACTGTTCAATTTTTATTTCCTCTGGTGCTTACCAGGAGAATCTGTTTGACAAATCGAAGCTTCTCAAATTGGTGATCATTTCCTTTATTCTCCTGACCTGTACAATTGATTTTAAGGTGACACTGTTGGGATAGATCAGAACCCATTCACTCCTAAGAGTTCAATGGCTTATTACTAAAATGAACAGGCTTGCATGTAATTTGATCTTGACTACACCGTCCCAAACTGGAACATTTTGCAATTGAATTTTACTTAATAATATTTTTATCATTGCATTGTTTCTCCAATAGAATGGCTATGTATCAACCTGTCAAGTGATGCTTGAAATGTGCGACAGTCACAACCTTGTCAATGGAAAAGACTTCTCAGGACGGTCACCCATTCACTTATCAGCTGCGGCAGGACAGTATTATGTCCTTGTTGAACTGACTGCTGTCCCATTTGCAAATATTGAAGCCTTGGATAATGATGGCAGGTAATAAGAGTCAATCAGATAACACATGTAGATGGTAATCTCGTAGTGGGGCATGCACATTACTTTATTTATCATTATTAAGTGGTAATCACTCTGTGGCTGTTGACCCTTTGACCTCTAGGAGTGACTAGCATCTAATTTCTCCTTACAATTTAACCCCTGAATCAAATGTTAAGGTCAGGAGAATAAAGAAAATGATCCTAAACTAAGGAAACTCTTGATTGTAAAACAAATTCTCCTTGTCAGCACCTCAGAAAAAGTATACAGAGCAGTATGGAGAATATGTATACCGAGGTTCTTGAACTAAACCCCGGTCATTGAGCTTATGAAAGCAGACCAAACTCAGAATCTGAACAGCTGTGCACCTAGTCCCCTCCCCTAACTCAACAATAACCCTCACCAGTTATCAGTCGACTGTTGTTGGATTAGGGGAGGGGAAGGTGAGCAGTTGCTTAGATTCTGACTTTGGAACAGTGTGGAGAGAATACATATTGATGTTATAGCACAAAGAGGGTTATGATCATTTTGCACTCAACAGTATAGCATCAAGAAAAACTGATTGTACCTTGGCTGATGGTAAAGATAATCTATGTTTTCTAGGAACTAATCTGTTTATCAGTCCATCTTTGAAAACATTTGCAACTTCCAAAAAAATGAAGTGTCTATAACATTATTTATTTTTGTGTGATAGAACTCCTCTTCACTGGGCGGCAGCTACTGGGCATGCTGATTGTGTTGCTCATTTGCTGAGACTTGAAAGTGACAAGGAAGCTGAAGACAAACATGGTGGAACTCCGTTACAGTATGCTCAACAGGGACACCACTCTGTCTGCTCTCAGTTGTTAATGGCTCATGATCCTAAAAATCCTCTTGCTACAGAAGTACCAATGAGAAAAGGTAATTCTGCTCTGATTTTGTAGTTACAACATAAAAAGGTTAATGTTTTATGATGAAAGAAGACTATAATTGAATGCATAACCCACCTGAGGAAAAGAAATTTAACCCTTTAACTCACATGAGTGACCAAGACAGAATTTCTCCTTACAATATATGTATCAATACAATATCAAGCAGACAAATGATGATGATAAAGAAGAGTACCAATTAGGGGATTATTAGTTGATCCAATGACAAATTCTCTAAACTATCATCATAAGAATTGTTTGGGGACAGTGAGGAGAATTTCTAATTAGATCTTGGGAGGGAGAGAATTAAGGGGTTTACTCATAACTAACAGAATCAGACAAAGCAGTCAAATACCTGTCATGTTCTGGAATACATTTTTTCCTTTGTCTGCATTGCTACTACAAAATCTTTAGAAAACACAGACCATCATCGTTGTGGGAAAAGTAATGATGCTGATGTTGGCAACCTTAACTTGGGTTTCCTGTGTAGATCACTTCTTGATGAAGATTATTGGGAAACTCAATATCACAATTGGTTTACATAGGTCTCTCCCGAGAAAACTTTTGTCTTAGTGTGTAGATAATTGTTTAAACCCTACTCAGGTTGAACTCTTTAAAGCATACCATCAGTATGCATATTCTCTATACTGTTCTCCATACATTTGCTGAGGTTCTGACAAGGAGAATTTGTTTAACAATCAAGGGGTTCTTTAATTAGTTGGTTTTCTTTTACTTTTTTCTTGTGACGTCATAATATGTGATTCAGGGGTGATATTGTGAGGAGAAATTAGGTGCTAGACACTCTGAGGGGTTATTAAGAGTTAAAAGATGTACCATTGCAAGTCTGATGTGAATTTGAAAAAATGTGAGATTGAATTTATGTTACAAGACTTATAAAGATTTTTATAGGAAGATTTTTGGCTCTTTGAACTGATATCAACAAAGACCACATTTAGAATAACTGAACTGTACTAAAAATTTTATTTTGGATAATCATACATGCTCAATAATCTCTATTCTCTGAGTTGAATAAGTCTTTAAAGGGCTAAAAAAATATATAGTGCTTCTTCTGTCTGATCATATTACCTATTTTTTGGAATTAAATTGATCACTATAGAGTCTTACATTGCAGACTTAATGAACATTGGAATCACATGCAAATGAAAAAAATTATAAGCTGGCGATCTGATGTCGAAATGAAAACATTTTATGAAATTACAATCATTAAAAATAGGGAAGCTGTAATTTTTTTTTTGTGCAGAGTTAAAGACGTACACAACCCTCTGTGGGTATTGTGATGATGTTTTCTACATAATTTCATGACATCCAGTTTTGTTGCTTGTGTTGAAGTTTTACAACAGGTATCAGAGTGAAATAATATTCACCTTAAGTGACTTCAGGTTTTTATTTCCCCTCCAGCTGCTCTTTTTCCTATTATGTCCTTTTGGCTGTTTTTTGATATGCAAATTTACACCTGCCTCTGTACGTACAAATAATTATTGTTTTATGTTTTGCAAAAAACAATCTTAGTATTGTTGCTAAATAGAGGACTTGCAATGTGAAAACTCTACTTGTAAATGTGTCTTATGATGATGAAGCAAGAAATTTGTCTTGCCCTATATTTTAATTAAATACCACTAATAAATTTTTTTAATTTGTATAAGTTTTACATTTGATCTCTTTCTTGGCTGTTTTTAATTATCAAAACATACCTTTTTTAATTTTACAAGAAGTAGGCTTCTGTCTTCAATTAATTCATCTTTTGTTTGGGGTTTGTTTGCTGAAATTAAATACTGTTTGAAATTTGCATTTTAGACAAGAGACAGGTTCTGCCCAGTGTGTGGTAGATAAAATCATTTTTAGATTTGCATGCTATTTTGAACACATGATTGTCGCCGCTGATTACATGGTTGGAGTTTACTTTTCAAAACCGGTGGACACTGTATTATTTATATCAGACTGTGAACTCTTTTGTGTATAAAGTAAGGACTTAATTCATCCATGCAGTTTTTAAATATTCATTTGGTTTATGGTAAGAGTGTCTGTTCAGAGGGTCATTATGTTACTTTTAGCTTTCGTTTTATATGTATGGAGGTTCTCAAGTGATTGTTTTTATGTGGAAATGTGTCAAATGCAGGTACACAAATATTCATTGTCACATACTTTCCATTTTTAGACTAAGAGGCCTTGGTGAAACAATAACATGCAGCTTATTGCTGCAGTATACTTTAAAGAACTGAATTTCAATTGGTAAAAAAAAATTATGAATTTGCTTTCATGCATATTATCTAACATTTAGATATAATGTTAGCTTTAAAATTGTTCAGAGTTTTAACACATTTGAAGCATAATTCTGTTATGAATTTCAGTTCTAGTAAGTTGCAGGTATATTCTGTGGATTTTTGTTCACCGTTTTGTCAGGAGAGCATTACACAGTCGAGCTTGATTCATTTTTCAATGTACAATTTTACAGGGATAAGAAATTATGATATAACTTTTAATTGTTCTATAAAATGTATATATTATTAAACTTTGTACCATGGAATATGATAAGATTTTTTAAAATTGTTATGTTTTCTTTAGCGGCCAATTGTGTGCATATCTTTACCTTAATATCTTGCCTGCAAGTTCTGTGAGTTGAGATACACCATACACATTCCACTCTGATTTTTTTTTGTCAAAGGCAGGGAATTCTTGTATCCTAAGTACCATAATTTTCTGATTAAGAGTATATTTATTCGATCATATCCAAAGATACATCAGATTTTCAAAACTGTTCTAAATATTTTTAGTGATGTTCCAAATATGTTCTTATCAAGTGTCACATAGTGTTAATACATTCAAACTAGTCTTCAGTGGACTTTCTTCCACAAACAAAGTAATCCACTTATGTACCATCATTTGCAAAGACTTTTCTTTTCTTGTACTGAAATGTAAGTTCATTTAACATTTTACTTTTATAGGAATGTGTCATATTGCAGAGAAATGAAGAAAAAAAAAAAAAAGCAAAACAAAGAATCTTCACCTGTTTACATACAGTTTCTCAACTTTGTGCCAATTAAAATGAACAAACATTCTAGCTTTCACCTTGTTAAGGCAGACATGGTTTTTTTAAATATGAAAAAACATTATTTTAAAACTTAAGATGCTCTCAGACCCACATTGTTAGATTAAAGCTTGTCATTAAGTTTCAACTTTTTTTATCACTATATCAATGTGACTATGGCTGCAGAAAACAGTAAAAAACATCAGAATTAATTTCATTTGAGACCAAATTTTTATCCTTGTCTTTACCATAAGATAAACTAACTTTCATAACTAAATTCCTTCCTCTCTGACCCTACTACAGGAAAATCTCAATGTGCTATTTCTTATTGAAGGTTTTTCTTTTCCTGTAAATTCTCTTTGTACTAGGTTCACCTGCAGAAAGTCTTTCTCTTCCTGAAAATAGTCAACGTGGATCAGATGGTGTCCAGCTTTTTAATCAAATCCATGATGGAGTAACAAATGGTTTTGATTCTCAGCTTCAAACAGATCCCAGTGATTCAGAGGTGCAAGAAATCCTTGGCAACAGTACGACAACTGTACAAGTTCTTGTGGAAATGAACCGAGAAGAAGAGGATGGCATAGAAACAGGTTGGGGACTGATCAAGCAGAGTTTGATTTTTTTGCGTGTCTCTTGCTCCCCCCTATAGTGAGGATTCTCAGTATCCTAGAATCTTTGGCAAATCTTGTTTGCAGTTTCGAGATTCTCTTGAAGATGAAATGGGTAGAAATATTTTGCATTGTAGTAGTTTTTGGGTCTCTTTTCAGAAGCCAAGTGCAGTGCATATAAACTATGCACTTGATTTTATACTTTTTGTTTTTGTTATTTTTACAGTTGAGAAAATGTTAATTTTTTTATTGTTTCCTTTGTTTATTTGTTTTATTGGAGATCATGTTATTTTGTTGTGATTTTCTCTTATATTACTGACCAGGTGGATACTGCAACTGTGCAGTGAAGTTATGCATGCATAGTGACTAATTTTCGGGGTATTTTCTGTACAGGGGACATGGTTTCATTGCTGCATGATGTTAGTGCATGGCCCAGTATTACGCCCCCGGCATCACCCTGTAGGTTGATATCATCTTTATCTACTGTAATGTAGATAAAAATTTAAAAATGAGTTCTTTCTTTCACGTTAATGTAGATAGACAATTAGACATAGTTAATCGTCGCAAGCTTCAGGAGCTTGTAGGATCAACAGTGATTGTTATAAGTGCAGGCTCTCATTGCACCTTTGCTACTGCTGGCTCCTTGAGATTTAGAGCAGTTGTGTATTACCTGTTCCTCAATGATCCACAGGGCTTTAGTAGTTGTTTTTTTTTTTTCAATTATTCCTTCACACCACCCCCCTCCCCCTCCTTATTCCCCTTCCACCAACTCAAATAGTGTTAGAACTGAAGATACTTTGATTTTATCAACTGAGTTGTGATAATGTTTTAAACTGGAAAATGAAGTTTCAAGGTGTTAACTCTTTACCATTCCCTCTGTCAAAGGGCTACTGCTCAAAACATCCATTTTAGAAACCCTTTACGGCAGCCAATTTGCATTATCACAACTCAGTTTATAAAACTCAGTCATCTTATTGTACCACCACTGATGGAATACCACAGTTGCTACAAGACTTGCTCCTTCTATCAACTAATGTTAGCTGGTGCCTTGAGTGGAGACTCATGGCAGTCTTATATCCGGGGGTCTGCAAGCCACTTAAGGGAAGACTCTGAATATTGCAGACACCTACCTTTTACATAAGTAAGGTAGCAGTTTAAGTGGCAAATTACATTGTTTTTACTATGTAAAAATTTAAACTTTTAAAACTTTTTCTCATTTGGTAAGTGGTTTTGGTTGGTATTTATACCACCAGGCAACTGGCTCTGCCGGATTACAAGTACATGAATCTAAGGATTATAGGTACAATTATTAGGTAAGTTTTCTTTTTGAGAAATGTCCTCTAGTGATTGAAGGAATCTTTTCCTAGATTTCCTTCATCCCAATTTGAATGGAGAGCGTGACACAGGCGGCTACAGCAGTGAGGAGGACAGTCGCTACCCCCCACAGATGGCTCTCACACCCATACCATCCTCACCCGTACCCCCAGAGGATGGCAAGCACAGCAATCCAACAAGACCACCCATCTTGCCAAGATTTAGTTTTGAGGTATGACTCAATTGCCTGATCAGTCAGTTTCTCTTAATGAATTTTATATTACGACAGTCAATTACCGTTGTAGTTAAAATTTCTGTTCGAGGTAATTGGGTATCGATGAAGTTTGAAGAAATTAAATAAAAAAGATCTTTAACGAAATTTAAATTGGGGGTCTCAGGCAATTGGGTTGTCTCGCGCAGATTTTTTTAGAGGTATGTCGATCTCTCAAAATATGCACTAAGATCCGGAATTGATGAGAATTGCTTTGTTTCAAAAACTTCAATTGGTACTCCACCTGTGGGCTGACCTGTTTTCTCTAGGACTGATGCAAAATTTCTCAGCAGTCACGAGAGGTGCGGGCCACATTTTACCTCGTATTTGACAAGGAGGGTAGCAAAGGGTTTTTACTTGACGCGTAATTAATGCCAAAATCAATATGTGATGCGTTGATTTTACAGAGAACCGAGCGTGATTCGTGAATTTATGAATCAGAGTAAGGCGTGATTTGCCTCCTGAAATATACGCGACCCGTGATTCTTTTTTCTGTTAGCTCGTGAAAACTTCAAGATTTCCCTGAAACCTCGTACACGAGGGGAGAGATTTGAAGTTTCCCTTTTAAATATGTAACGCGTGCATCAAAACGGGATCGGGGCCCCTTTTCTTTACAAAGTTTCCTCTTTAAATTTCTCGAAAGTGAACATCACGAATTCTCTTTCACAACCACTTTTTTTTCCCTCTTTTTTTAGGATCAAGCCCCCATTATAAGACCTTCAGGCGCTCCAGTTCCTGCCCTTGCACCTATCAAATCAAAGACAATGCCTGAAAGGTTACGACTGGACAACTACAAACCCACCCCGCTGAAACCAGTAGAAATGAAGCCACCCTCCCCATCCACAGAGCTACTTTTGGCACCACTGAAGATAGCTAAAGCAAAACAAAGCCCCGTACCAGTGAATGCAAAAACGCAGCATTCGAGTCCTACTACAGGTAGTCCGAGAGAAGCGGGGACTCCAGATAGTAATGACATATACTGGGCGCGTAAAGGAAAAGTGAAGGCTGACACGCTCACACTTAACACTGTCAGGTTTGTTTCCAGCTAAGTTCTGGAGAATGATTTGAAAATCTCTAGTTACGTTTTTCCTCGTTCCGCTCCAGATATTATAACTACGCAATTGGCTCCAGTTGCATTTGTTGGCACAGCAGTAGGTCCATTTTTCCTGCGCTTAGCACCAATTGCATTTGTTCGCGCCTTCGGCACCGATTGAACTTTTTGCATTTTTCACGCGTATGAAGCTAGTCGCAATTTTTTTCCCTCGTAGTTAGCATAATTTACCTTTTTTCCTTGTTTGACACTAGTTTTTTTCTTTCTTTGCGTTAGGCAACAGTTGTTTTGTCAAGAAAAAGATCTATTTAATTGTCTCACTTTGTAGTCGTCTTTTTTCATTTCTCAGTGATAATTTGGAGTCAGATTTATACCGTAAGGTGAAAGACAAGCGTCCTTCCGCAGCTAGTGCTGCTGGCCAGATCCTGCCTGCAATCTCAGACAAATCGAGTCACGTGACCCAAGTTCAAGGATCCAGGCAGGATCAGTTAGGTTGGTATTTTTTTTTTTTTTTTTTTGGGGGGGGGGGGGGGGGGGGGGGGGGCATCAAAAATAACCCCACGGGTTTGTTGGGGCATCGGAAATTGATTAATTAGTGTCTTTGACTCAGATTTTATTGTTTATACTCGTGAGTCGATGACTCTTTTGCTATCCAGGTATTAGCCGACAAATTTCATCACAAATTTTGAGTTTTGCTTGCTTAGAACTCTCATAAATTGTAAGTAATGTGTTAATTGCGGTTTATAAAGCGGATCGTTTATTTTTCAGAGGCAAAAAAGAAACACAGGAGAAGAACTTCGAAAAACCGTAGTATTCCAGAAGATTTAGGTAAGCTCTACCGTAGCTTTGCAGCTAAGATAGCTGCCTCGCTAACGAGTACACCTCACAGTTGTCTTTTAATTAGAATAATTTTTCCGTGTCTTTCTAGATGTAACGGACGGGTTTGTCGAAGAGACCGTTGAAGAAGACGCCAAGTCAAACAGAAGTGTAGGAAATTTGAAAGAAAAACCGAAGAAAAAGAAGAAAGTACGGAAAGTTATGAGCTGGAACTTTTGATGAGAATTGTAGAGATGTCTTAAAAATGCCCAAAGACACTTAGTGGCAAACGGCCTCAGGTACATCTACTTGTAGAGCTCAGAGACACGGCGGATATATGTCCCTGTGGGCTTCAAACAGATGGAGCTTAGCCTCACGAAAACGAGGCGAACATGCTAGGGCCCCTAACACATTTTCAGAGCCCCCACTCCCTTACCCCATACTTCTCTTTGTTCCGACTCGAAGAACGAGGAGTAGAATGAGAGGGATTACCATGAGCGAAAGGATTAAACTCCTTTTCACGTGGAAAGTGTATTACATGATCATCGATTTTGTCAGCCTTGGTATGAGATGCCGTAAATGATTAGGGGCTGCTCATGACCTTTCCTATTTTTGCGCTCGTTTGATAACATGGAGCATTCATATTCTGCGCAGACTACGTGCCT